CCTAGCCTCCCAGAGTGCTGGGCTTCAGGTGAGAGTCACCATGCCCAGCCTGACAGCTTCCCAGGACCAAGACCACCAACACAATGTTTTTCAACCACCCACTCTATACCCTGCTAGTTTCCAAATTAATAGGATGGACTCAAGAATAGTATATTCACGTATTAAACCCAAACAGTACATTAATTTACAGAATTGATAAAGGAACAAGATGACCTTTTACCAAAGCAAAGAATTGAAAGCCTAAGTACACAGAGAGTGACAATTAGAATGCCTATAGGAGCTGTGACTATAAAATATTATAACCAGTTTATAAACAAACACGTAAGATCTTATATATACAATTAAATACTATCATCCTGAAATAGTCACTTAGTTGGCTAGGTCATATTTCAGTGAGGCTACCACAGCCTAAAACATTTTGGGAATGATTCTTAACTGGCACATATTCCAAAACTTCATTTCTTCATGATTTTTACTACTCGTTCTACATCACCAACAATGCATCAACGGCACACCTGTCATTAGTCCATACAAGGAAGGACAGTACTAACATTGAGGGGGACACGTCAGACCAACTTCTAATGCGATCAACCCAAGAGGTTTCATGGAGGAGCAGATGGTAATCAGTACATCGGTACTGGACAGTACCTAGTACCACTCAGTCACTAAGTAGATGACTGCTCGAGGAACAGAAAGGCCAGGGTTTCTCTAATTTCCCCTGGTGACATCAACAATCATAGCACCAAAAGCACTGCCAATGTCACCAAAAGTCTCCCATGAAGGATTCTAATGATCAGGAAAAAAATTAAGGAACGACTACTCCTCCTGCTCATTTTTAGTGGCAACACTAAAGGACATTTTCCCTTCTAAAGGATCAAAGTTATCCAGAGAGGGTCAAGAGGAACACGGAGTCTCTAGAGCAGATGCTGGGCTAATCAGAGATGTTTTCTAGAAAATCTTTAAAGTCTTCACACTGACCAAAGCTTGACACAATCTCAATCATAGCTAAGCAAGACTGCATACTTCCCTGGGAACCAAGCCCAGGAAGCAAGGGTGAGCCCTTGCCACCTGAGCCACAAGCTTCCCCCATGGCAGATGCTACTCAGTCTGGCCAAGATCACCCTCTCCACAAGCGGAGCACAGACAACACAACCATCTGACCTGTGTCGACCCTGAGTGGAGAGGAAAACAGCACTGGACTGGGAATTCCCAAATTCTACCTGTGCAGCCAAGCAAGGAAGGAAGCCACATAGTCTGAGCATGTGTCCATCGCCTCTACCCCACAGGAAAGCATAAGCCATGTCTCGGGCTAACCCTACACAGGCATGGGCTCCTCAGTAGAAGCACACACAGCTCCCCCAGGGGTGGGACCTGTGAGTTCGCTCCCGCTGCTCATCAGCGCCCTAGGTGGCATCTGCCGTCAGCACCTGGCAGAATCGTCCTGCGTGGGGCCTAAATAAGAGCGATACGTGGGGAGATCCTGTGATGAATGACAGGCTAGGAACAAAGGGGGTCAGGAATAGGAAAATCCTTTCTCAGAACTGCTGTGGAAAGGATGTAGGACAGGAGCCAAAGAGGACAGGGTATAAAGTGATTGGATCTCCAGTGCAGAGCAATTCAGTATGACAGACCAGGCTCTTTTAAATAATTTTCTTTACTCAGGATCTTACTCTGGATCTGGCTTGCAGACCTCCCTCTTCCTGTAGTCAGGGTGATTTTCATATTCCAGGGAAAGCTTCGCTGGCTTAATTACTCATATTTAAGAGTAGCCACCGCAATTTTCTGAACCAAAATAAATTTAAAAATGAAAAAGGAGGAAGAGGAAGGGAAGGAGAGGAAGAAAACAAAAGAGAATTTCCAGGGCTTTAAAGATATAAGTAAAATGCTCCAGTGGGATTCCACATCACCCCTGGAATTTCTTTCTCAACTACTGTGAATGTCAAAGTTATACTTCTTAACTGTCCTGATGAGCCAAAGGAATTTTGACACCAATTTGCTTGGATGAGAAAGCCGTCCAGTTTCCTTCTGATGCATCTCAAATTACAGTTCCCAGCCATATTGTCTAGCACGCTAGTTTTAAAGCCCCTGATGAAATACTGAAGTTTATATTCAAGCTATCAGATTTATGATTCAGCAGCCTCTTATGACAGGGCAGGCGGACTTAAAGAGAATGTCTGATGAAGTGACGTAGCCGTTCCTTTGATCACACTATGGGTACAATTCCTGTGAAGCGTGAAAAATTCTACCTGATCAATAACTCTGCTATGGCTTAAATGCTATTAACAGTACTTTAGGGAACGTTCAGCTTCTCTTTTCAAAAACAAATCTGCTTTATTCTCTGAAAGCAAAGGTAACATGCTGCACTTACAGTTTTCCAATCAAATTGCATAGTTGAGGCAAATTCATTTGTGCTTTGTAGCAGAGCTCACAGTAGGTGTTCAAATCTAGAATCTTGGATTTGCAAATGTGAAGTCCCAGTGCTGCCCACCTTAATCTCCAGTGGATGCTAATGACACCCCGGGCCGCTGCCTCTCCCGGTCTGGGTCGGGGTCACCACGGACCCGCCTTCCCCTGCCCCACAGTGGGAGCAGTAAACTAATACAGCGGAAGCCCTGACAAAAGCTCCCTGACCTCCTCCTTGCCGAGGGGAGACAAAGGTTCCTGTCTCCTTGAGGTATCCAGCCCTGAGTCAACAGTGGCTGTGTACACTGAGTTTTGTTGGATTGAGGATTGTATCTGTAGAGGTTAAAAAAGAAAGAGAAGAAGGCACAGGTGTTTCTCAAGTCGCCATGTTCAACTCAACCAACAACACGGTCATTCCCCAGCTTCGGGAGGCAGCTACACCGCAGCAGGGCTCTCTGCCAATCCTGGCTCCGCCGAGGAACTGCTTGCTTCTGGGAAGGGCCCGGGGTGGGTCTGTGCTGCGGAAGCGATCCCTTTCTGCAAGCCTTCGTCTTCGGGGAGCCCCCCTGGGGTGCTGAAGGCTGGGCACGAGGTAGTGCGGGCTTGCTTATCTGAGGCGGCGTCCGGCTGGCGCACCAGCTCGCTCACGGTGCTGAGCGGGAGCTCCCGGCACCGCCGCCTCCGCACTCCGTTCTCCTTGTATTTGATGGAGTACCACGCCAGGAAGATGAAAATAAAGCCGACAAACTTCAGGCCGGCTGCCAAACCGAAGTAGACGAAACGAAAAGACGTCACGTTGTACTCCCAGCAAGAGCCCTGCACCCCGCAGTCCTGTTGCCAGAGCATGCAGGTGGTGTCAATCACTGCTCCAAAGTAGATCGGGGTCGGAATGTATGCTAGGGTGCGGGCAGAGGGGTGGACAGACAGACAGCACACCGCACAAGAGAAAACAGAGTTTACATCAGAAAAGTAGACTGCCCAAAAAACAACTGAAGGGAATGATTGTTGTGTTACTTGATTTTTAAAAATATATCATTTCATCACAATTATAAAAAACATTCATTAAACAGTAAATACTTAAAATACTTAAGTAGTAGTACTTAAAACTGCAACTCAGAATGTGTGACTGACTTTTAGGATCATAAGCTGTCTATCGCTTGGACATGTACAACAAATCATTGCATTATACACTTTAGGTTCAATTTTATTTGTCAATTATACCTCAATAAAGCTGCAAAAAAATGTCTACTGCCAAAAATGCCATTAGAGAATCCCTTAAAACTTAAAAATAGATTTTGTGCTTGCATACTTGAGGAGCTATACGCCAGCCCTTTATTGCCTGTCTCCGCTCAGTGACACCTAGTTTTAGTGGGCTGAGTCCCAGTCAGGGTGCAGGAAGAGCAGCAGGAGGGTGCTGTCTCCCCGAAGTCGGATACCACATCAAAAGGCAAGTTCACAAAGGTCTCTGGGCTGTGGAGTAATTATGGCATAAAATTCATCTTTGAAGCTCACGACATCGCAGCAGCTTTGTTGTCTGGGCCACACTAGGGACACTGTTTGACACCAGAAGAAAGTCTGCCCGATGGGGATGCTGCATTGCAGCTACTCCCCTAGCTGAGGCGCACCCATGGCCTCTCCTGCAAATACACACCCTCCTTTAAAGTCCTCTCAGGCAGAAGCCCTCGGTTCTGCGGTGCTGGTGTGTGTCTCCACTCTATTAAGTAAATGAGGTATTTACTTAAGCTGTTTGCCAACTTGACACCTTGTAACTCCCCAGTGCAGCCTCATGACCTGTTAGGAGAGCCCACAGATGCTCAGCAAGTGCTCAGAGGAAGTGATGGACAGAAGGCAAGAGAGGAGGGAGGAAAGAAGAAAAGAGAAGGGGAATGAAGGGCCGAGGATGGGAAGGCTAACAGATCAGAAAGCCAGGATGCATTTCACAATAAATTGTGTTTTGTGAAAATGAGAACTATCACTACAACTGAAATTTAAAGTTAGATAACTAACAAGAACTCTTAGGGGCCGGGGAGATGGCTCAGTAGAATAAGTGCTTGCCTGGCAAGCGCAAAGTTCTGAGTTCAAATCCCTGGTTCCACAAAAATAAAATAATAAAAAATAAAAATAAAAAATGTTTCTTTCATTTAAAAAAAAAAAAAAGGGGGCCGGAGAGATGGCTCAGTGGAATAAGCACTTCCCTGGCAAGCGCAAGTGAGTAACTGAGTTCAATCCCCGGCTCTGCCAAAAAAAGAACTCTTTTGCTTTGAGCTTTTGAGGAAATGAAATCAGCTTGTTAGCCTAACCACACATTTCACATTCAATAGAAATTATGATAAGGTTAAATTAAGTAATACACAGCTGGCCTTTCTCCGTCCTGACTCCTGGAGCTGCAGCGCCCCACTGCCGGCTTCCAGTTCCCCCCAAACTCCTACCAAGTCACCTACTCCAAGGCAGCAGAAAGAGCCAGAGCCAAAGAGAAGGAATTATTCTTTTCTTCTCCTATCTACTCATTCCTTTGGGGCATCAATTTCTTTCCTTGAAAATAATACTCTATTTTTCAGCTACATGTGTCAGGATTTGCTTTAACCAGCACACATTTAAAATAGTATTAGAGAAACAAGCCATCTATTAGATAGAATTAGAAACACTGACAGTGTGGAGTTTATTGGAAAATGCTTACTCTCTAGCTGAGCTATCAACCACAAACATGGCAAACAGAATTCCAGAAAAGAATAAAACTTCAGAGAGCAGGGAACACCATTTTTAAAAGGTTTCGCCCTTCACAACCTAAAATTTGGATCAAAAAACCTTTTTTTTTTTTTTGGTCCCATCAACAATGGTACTGATTACTGGGGAGAAAACAGCAGCTGAAAAAAATGACGAGCTGCCACTGAAGAAAGAAAACATGAACTTGGGGATAAGGAAGTGAACCCACAATGCACTGCCTTTGATCCAGGCCAGCGCCACTCCACCTGCCCTTCCCAGTTACCATCCCAGGACCACACGGGGGACACATGTTCAGACAAACTATATTTTTTTTCTTTTTTTTTAGGGAAGGGTCTACAGGGTGTTCAGGGTCTCACTACTAGATCGGACTCATAGTGATCTGCACTTTACAGCCTCCCAAAAGCTGGGATTACAAGTGCACGGGCCACCATGCCCAGTCTCAATTGCCATCTCAGTGCGCCCTGGGGGCAGGGACAGCTTGGCAGACCCAGGGATCGAACCTCCAGCTCCTATGCCTGCTTGCAGGCCCTTTAATCCTGGACAAACTATTCTCTGTGTGCCCCATTCACAGTAACATCACACTAATGTACTTTTCTTGTGCAGGAGCAAAACCTGTGGTTTGGTTCTGTGCGTCACTTTTTTTCTCTTTAGAATCTTGTTTTTCTTAGGAAACTTGGTGTGTGTACTCTTTGCTCAGTCCAGTAAAATTACTATAAAGAAATAAGAAACTGACATTTTTACAAATAAAATGTATGACCACCTTCCTTTCATGTTAAGAAGCCATAAAGGGACCAAAATGCCAGGACGACAAACCCAGTACAAATTTCTTGGTGTCACATTATACAAAACTTTCTAGAGAATGCAGCACAAGTTCACGTTCACAGGCAAAAAGAAACCAACCCAAAGTCGGTTTTGTTTCTCTGTTTCATTAAAGGAACTTGTCAGTTTTTAGCACAAATCTGAAAATAGGGAAGTGTGCTCTTACCCCAAACCTATAAATTCATAGCCATGAAGGGTAGCCGTGACTTGACTGACATTTTTAAAAGACAATGAACACTTTGCTCACTTGCAAGAGAAAGAGCCAAGAGGCACGCTTGGAAACTCAGGGACCTACCAAGTGTTCGCAGCAAGACAAACTGCATCCCCAGTGCAAAAGGTCTCTCTTCATCTGCCACAGACCTACAGTGGGGGAAAAACACAGGTTTTCACTTCACAGCAGCCTCAAGAGAACAGGTGCCAAATCAGGCTTGCTTCAGGCGCCGGAAGACTCACATCACTAGAATTTGCTGGCACCAGCCACGCAAGGTGGGGGATGGCTAAATACCAAACTGAGCGCTCCTCAATGAAGACTCTAAAACAATTCAATGAATTCTAATTACTTCCATGTAAATACTAGTGGAAGATCAAAGGCTCTTGACTGAAAAGGCTTTTTTTATTTTTTAAATAATTCATAACATTTTATCTTAAAAACTGTATCTTCTACCTCTATTTGCCTGCACTTACCTCAATGTTGGATGTGCCCATGGAACTCACTCCCACAATCCCCCCTCCCCAGGACGAATAAAAATAAAAACAAAGAATATATCCCAAAACTGTACCAAAAAACCAAGTCAAAAGTTAAAGAGTGAACTCCTCCAAGCCACATTTTTTCCTTTTCCTAAAATTCATGCCCAAAGTAATTCCCATATGGCAGAAAGACTAGAGCCTACTGATTTTGAGAGTAGCAGAGATTATGGAACTCCTTTTCTGAGGCTGGGCATTAAAAGCCAGTTGGCCAGTTGCTATGTTTGAGCACTGGAAAATGGGTGGCCCTTTGTGGATTATCTAGCACCTCTCATAAGGCTAAAGTGCAAGGCAGTAAGTCATCAAGGGAGTACATTTCTTACTGTCCATACAGCTTTTTAAGTGGCATGTGGGGTACAGCAGCATGCTCCACCGTAGAGCCGGCTGCTCAGGAAGCTGAGGGGGAGGATCACTTGAATCCAGTGACTTGCTACACACTGACACACCATCCAAGACAAAATAATGACACACCTTTTCCAGGGCTTTAGGTATATAAGGGAAAAGGTTTCCAGACACCAGCACCCTCATCATCTTGTCCCCGAATCCTTTATATTTCTTAGGAATTTTCCCCAGCTCTATACATATAACTGTCAATCCACAAATAGCTGCTGATGGACAAATGTGGCAAAAAACAAAAACCCAGCATATTCTTCCTGCGCTTTATGAACTACCAAGGAGCAGCTACACTGGAAATGTCCACCTTAGCATCCAGTAGGACAGAGGCCAGGACAACCCGGTGCCACGAGAAAGGAGGGCTGACTCCCTTCCCCACACCGTCGCTGCATGGACCCTTGTCCCTGAGGGCCACAGTACGTGACCCTGTTTCACCTCTGCCCCTTCCTGCCTCTGCTCTTGAAACCTTTACTGCAAACCCCAGCACAGTGATCTGAATGTGACACCATCAACATTTTTAATAGAACAAAAGTAGCTGCTGTGTTCTCTAATTAAAAAAAAAAAAAAAGGATAATATAATACAGCCAAGAAAGTACAGACTAAGTCTAAAAAACCACATTTTTGAGTCTACCCTTTCCTTGATCCAACTCCAAAATTTCAGATGGGAGTAAAATGAATGAACTCAGCATTGTGAAATGCAGGCCCAGCATAAATGATCACGGATCCAGAAGGGAGGCACTACCTGCCAGGTTGGCAATAATTGCTTCTAGGTGTGCATCATTTAGCAACTTTGCCAAATTACCTCCTGCCTTCCTCTGGGACCTTCTTCTCAGAGCTCACACAGAGACGGTTTCTACCTCCTGAAGTCCAACCTTGAAGAGCAGAGACTTCAGGAAGAGCCAAGACCTAAATGATGTTTCACTAAACAATAGGACCAGACCCAACCAAAGAACATTCCAGAACATGAAATGTTACAGTCTTCCCTTCCCTTCCTGAAGCTGCTGGTACCATCACCTCCCAGAAGTGCCTGCAGATCCCACCTGAGTGTGACTATGATGGCTGACGGCTGGGCACACGCCGTGATGAAGGTGACAATGAACAGGAACACTAAGAAGGGGATGAGCGTATTGCAGGTCCGTCTGCACTTCCCCGACACAGCATAGCCATTCTCATTGAGATACGTTTTCACTATAACCACGCGGAGCTGGCCGCGCTGGCCCACGGTAGGTGGGGTGATCACTTGACGGCTCTGGACGCAGGTGCACTCAGTATAATTCCGGATCTAAGTGACAAAATAAGGACAGCCGATCAAAAGCAAAACATGGCAGAGGAACAGCAAGACAAAGTAGGTGTAGTATTTTAGAATTGCAGAATTTCTACCAAAAACATTGCCCTCACTGATGGCAGGAAGGTGTCTGGTCAAAATGGTTTAAACTGAAACTTTTTAGAGGTGCACTCAGTATTTCTATGATATTCACCTACCGGCAGCTCATTTGGGGCCATCAGTGTATTTTGCTTTGATTACCATAGAACTCTTGGGCTCTCCAATTCAATCCCCAGAAACAGGAACTGCACTGAGTTTCGGCCGGGTTCACCACAGTGCTTTGCACAACCCTGCTCTCTGCATCCGGGGCTCGGCCTTACTCTCTGGTCCTATTGTCTAAGGAGCTATCACCAACCTGAGCACAGGGAAGGCCTTGAAGTTAATGCCTAGTAAAAAAGATCAGAACACAGCATGATGACGGCTCCAGCTTCAGGGCCTTTTTAATTGCCTGGTGGCCTCCGCCCTACGAAAGCATAGCAACCCCACCCCACCGATGTAATTTAGTGTGGTGACCGTGGCTCCCGACCTGTGCTGCTCTCGTCACCTACACAGTTCAGCTGTCTGGAAACGCTGCTGAGGCCCAAGTCACTGACTTTCTCCAACAAGTATCTGTGATTCCCTACTGCTGTACCAAGTGCTGTCCCAAGGGATGGAAGACACTAAAGAGCAAAAGACCAAATTTTCTCAGTTAACTACCAAAATTCCCACTGAAACAAGGGCAAAAGTGATAATGAAACCTCATCTGGCATCACCTACACAGCAGCAAGCCACGCTAGTGAACGCTGAGTCGGCCAAATCACTTAGAGGCCTGGTTCTCGCGGGGCCACTGCTTGTTCTTTGAACTTCAGCAGAGATGACAAGACAGGAGCCCGCCTCACACCTGCTCCACTGCTTCTCGCAGCTGAAGTTCAAAGAACAAGCACTGTGCCCAGAGGAGCAGCCTACCTTAAGCAGAACTCTCACTCCCTCTCGGCATGCTGTCTCATAGGAGCCTGCCAGCCAGCGAGGTGCTGGGAGCTACCAATGGAAATTCTCAACTTGTCTTTTTTTTTTTTTTAGTGGTGCTGGGGATTGAAGCCAGGACCTTGTGCATGCAAGGCAAGAGCTGAGCCTCATCCCCCTGGACCCACCCCCATTCCATTTCTTTATGTACCAGGACTCAAACTCAGGACCTCGAACTCACCAGACAGGCGCTGGGACCCTGAGCTATAACCCCAGCCCTAATGTTTCACTCTAGTTTCAATCTCAGGATCAAAAATGGCATCTCTAAAACAGTCAGGCCTATCACATCCTGTCTCCTGCACAGAGCAGGCAGGTGCACGTTAACCTTTTAATTAAAGCAACTGCCTATCATCTATTCTCCTGCAGACTTAAACCAGGCTCAACAGAGAATAGGGTAGGACACTCAAACCTCTTCCCACAGTATCACAGCCTATTTATAATTCACAGGGAAGAGAATCCTCAAAATAGCCTGGTCTTGAATTGACAGAAATATCTTTACTCTAAAAGGTTCAAATACAGTTTGAACTGAACTGCTAGGTTACAAAAACATGGCCACTGCCCACCTTCCCAGACTCCCACCAGAGGTGGCGCTTTCCTAGGCTCCTGCATCAGTGCAACTGTGGTCACCTTGACCTTCAATCTGTGACAAGGGCCCAGTCAGAGGATCAAATGGAAAAGCTGGAGCCCAACCTTCTCAAGTTTCACTGAGTTGGCTTGATATATAGAATAGGAGAGGGCTGGAATGGAACCAAATCTCCACGCACAAATGCAGCATTTTTTGTCATCCCTGGCAGAAAATGATAGCACTGTGTAATTGTCTTCCCGCTAGGCATCTGTCAGAGGAACGGCGCAGGTTAATAGCTGCATACAAATTCACTCATAGCCTTGCTACAGCATACTGGATTAACAACAGCAGGGGAATTTAGAAAGTACACTCACCCCAGTGCTCAGATTGCCACTATTCATGCAGCCAGCCAAACAAGGGTTAAAGTACGTAATCCCATCCGATCCGCACACTGGCTCATACTCATGTATTTTACAACCACAGTTAACATTGCAGCTTCCTGTCAGATTCCTGTGGGGCATGGTCAGAGAAGGTCTGAGAAAGAAAAGAAGAAAGTTGTCAGCAGTCTACATTAAAAATGAAACTAAGGAATATTCTTGATATTTGGTGATTTGTCTATATTAAAGAAGACATTACCCGTAACCAAAGCTATGGTACCATTAAGTGGCCACTCTCACAGTGCCTTTTATGACTCCACAGCAAAACATAAAGGAAGATGTGTCAGATTCAATACTTTTTATTGAATTCTCTTCCCACCTCAATTTGACCCTCTACTTTAAGGCAATGGACCTGGTCGTACACCTCGGCTCAGCGACTCTAAGCTCAAATAACTCCTCCCTCATCTTCTCCCTGTAAGTGTGAGCACGTGGCTGTGTCTTACCAAATCTGAGCCACAATTTATTTTATTTTGCTTAATTTTACTTAGTTTTACTGGTATAAGGATTGAAGCCAGCACCTCACGCATGCTAACCATGCACCCTGCCACTGACCTCCACCTCTACCCCTAATTTACTTCACTGTTCTTTTTCCATAATTTTATTGAGAGACAAATAGCAATGAGACAGTTTCGAATCAAATTGGTAGGACAGTTTCAATAATTAACACATTGCATACTCTCTTCCTAGTGGTTAATTGCTGTACAAGATGCAGACATGATACCCTATTTACAAACACTATTAGAACAAATCCCTCTATTCTTTAAGAGAATGTAACTATATATCTGTCCTAACCATTTTGAATACACAGATACAAAATAGACATTCATCTGTATCCCCTTTTTTGTTTAGTTCTATCATTTGAATATTATAAATGTGTTAACTCAGCAAAATATTCTAAAAGAGTCCAGCAATCCATAATAGTATTGGGTCTTCCGCTTGACTGGCAGTGGCAGAAATTGTTGACCTGAGTGCCCTACAGCTAAACATAACAACATGCCTTTACTTCTTATACTTCGTTTTTATACTTTTCTGCTGGATGGTTAAGACCAAGATAAAGCAAGATCTATACAACAAGAGTTGTAGCTTTTGGGTCTGATAAGGTCAGTCAAATTCCCTCAGAATTTATATCTGAGGTACTTCACTGTTAATTGACATATCATGGGCCAGCCAAATAGCTCAGAGGATTAAAGCACCTGCAAGCAGGAGCAGGGGCCAGGGCTTTGGCTTCAATCCCCAGCCTGCTGTGCTGGCTCCATCTTGAGGGTATGCTGAGACAGCAATTGAGATTGGGCGTGGTGGCATGCGCCTATAATCCCAACTCTTGAGAGGCTATAAACATGTGTTTCACTACTAGTCCAATCTAGTAGTGAGATCCTGAACACCCTGTAGACCCTTACCTAAAATGCAAAAAAAAAAAAAAAAAAAAAAAGAAAAAAAGAAAGAAAGAAAAAGAAAAAAGGATTTATCGTTTATAAATGTATGGGATAGGACATGATGCTTTAATACATGTATGAATTGTGTAACGGTCAAATCAAGATAATCATTGTAGACTTCAATTCAAACATTATCCACCTTTTGAACTGTAAATAGAGAAAATCCTGTCAGTGCCAAATCAGGAACACCACTGTGAGTGCCTAAGACTGTGATAAGGTGAGGATTCGCAATCAGACGCAGTGAGTTTTCTCTTCCCACAAGACCGTGGTGTCTGGCACAAAGAAATGGTACAATATGGAAACCTCTAAGAAAATCAGTTCAGCCCACAATTACAAAGAAGAAGAAAAATATGAAAGGAATCAGGCCTGAGAAGAAAAGCATAAAATGGCAGTGTAAAGCAGAAACAGGCGATATAAGAGGGACCCACAGAAGATCAGATGTCACTCCATGCTGTTCTTAATCATGGCTGTTTAAAATTTTGTCACTATTTCACCATTTTTCTGCTTTGAGACAGGGTCTCACCCTGTAGCTCAGGCTGGTCCCAGATTCCCAACAATCCTCCTGCCTCGGCCTCCACAGAGCTGGGATTACAAGCGTGCAGCCTCCTACCCAGCTGAGTCATCATTTTTGTATCACTGATAGGATAACGCCTAACACTAAATGCATGAGCCAAAGCAGATCTTTCACTCAACCATCCATCAGCAATCCATTCATCCAACATCTCTTTTGGAGCATCTGTTAACATGCCAGCATTTAGCTTTAATGACTACATTAGTAGCACTTATCCAGTGCTTATCCCCGACCACACGCATCCATCTAACAAGTGTCGCTTGTTCCCAAGGCTTTCGTCCTCTGAGCTCTTTCACACTTTACTAGAACAGCCTTCACAACTCAATGGGCGAAACAAATCTGAAACAATATTAAAACCTTCCAAACAGGCTGAAGCCAAACTCTTCTTTGTTCACATCACTCAACAGAAAAATACTTGAAACAAGGCAAGGCTAATCCTTACATTCAAAAACTCCTGGTCCCAAAACACTTTCAAGTTTGAATAAACATAATATCATTCTAGACCAGCGGTTCTCAGCTGGACAGATCTGCGCCTCCATGGGCATTCAGCACTGTTAGGAGACAGTTTCAGTTTTCACAAAGTGGGCGTTGTTGCGCTTAGGAAGCAGAGGCCAGAGACGCTAGCAACATCACACAATGCACAGGACAGACAACAGGCACCTTCACCCCACAGCAAGAATATCTGGACCAAATAGCCATTGTATTGGTGGCAGGCCAAGTGCCACATTCCAGACCAGCTACTTCAAGCTAGTGATGATGAAATGGAAGGTTGAGGCGGCCAAGAGATTCCCTGTGAAGCTGATTAGTGCGGTGTTACCTGCACTTCCATGAGGAGTGTTCACCTGTGTGGCCATTCTCTGTACCGGCACATCAAGAACTAAACCGCAAGGCTTCACTGGATAAAAGTGCTTTTATACACCTGCGTGCTTACTCACTGAAAATGGCAGGCTTCATACCATACCCATGGCGATTGTTGCTGCTGTTTAGAGGCCACCTGGCATTGCCCCTCAACAGCATATTTTGCTTTCATTCATGACAGCTACAGATTTCAGGTGTCTGTCCTTTAAGAAATGTCTATTGGAGGGAAGGAACCTGAGGAAAACACCAACCGATGCTCAAAATTCATTGACTGCAGAAGATAACTGCTTTTCTGATTTCAGGAAACAGCCACAGGGCACCCTTGGTTATGCGTGCTTTTCCCATAAGATCATGGTGTCTGATACAAAGAAATGGTGACCAAGGGGGGATGCTCGAAGAAATTAATTCATACAACCAGCAATGAAAGGAAGTGTGTGTTCATGAGAAGGCACACCAGGCAAGGTGATCATGGACCAAAAGGAAGCTGCTCGCACCCCTCGCGGTGCGTCCTTGGTGCCGTGCTAATACACAGACCCCTTCCTTTTTCTAGAAGAATTTGTCTTGTTTATGTCTAAGCATACAGGTGTTTAAACCTGAATAAACAAAACAATCGCCCCTTACCCAGAAATGGACCCAGGACAGGAACATCGAGTGCGCAGGGCTGGTTCCCGTACGCTGCACTGCCCTAATGCAGAGGGCATGACGGCCTCACCAATGGGCTGTTCTTGTTAACTGATGAATCAACACAAGGCTAACACCATCCCAGGCCCAGGGGCTGGCAAGCCAATACTTTGCAAGCACTCAGTTCAAACTGCTGGCATGAGAGTCACAAATAGTATCCTACTTCAAAAACTAGGGGATGCTGGAGCTAGAGAAACAAAGAGGGTCTCTCATTAGTGAGTAAACTCGCTAATTCAAAACTGGGAAACTATAAGGGGGATAGTAATTGATCAAGTTACACAGAGTAAAGGAATATGATTCACATATCAAAAAAACCCTTATATGCTAATAAACTGGAAAAAAATTACGTCTTTCTCAAGATTACATAATCTTTATCAACTTCCTTCTATCCTCAAGAAAACTTCAACTGAAATGTTTTTTCCTCCAACTCAATTTAAATTCTTGGCTTCATATTTAAACCTTTCCATGGCTATATAGAACTATGCAACATCTGGTTTATAATTATCATTATCATCCTCATAACCTTCATTATCATTTAATGAAAAACCCTATTTGTATTCCATAATATTATAGCAGGGTAGCTTTATGGAGCTGTCCTCAGTTGGGCTTTCTGAAGCTCCAGCCCTCTGGACTGTGCATCTAGCTTCTTTCTTCCTGGAGAGAGCTTTAATGGTGCTTTCCTGGCATTCAGCTTTCTGCAAACCTGAACAATAGACTTTGAAACCATCTGGGTCCACCTCAACTCCCAAATTCACAAGGGACTGTAAACTTAAGATTTTACATTCATAAAACAGAGATCAAAGTATCTGTATCACCCAGTTGCTGAGGGGATTCAGTGAGCAATCATTTGCCCAATGTCCAGCACTCTAACTAGGAATATCAGGTCCTGAGGTGTGCTCCGTGTCTACATATGGCGCACGTATTAATTAGTAATGCTAACATAATCACCAACAAGAACAGTACAAACGATCTCCATTATATTTTCTCTTCAAAAAGGAAGAAGTATTTGATTTACTTCTATAGAAAACAAGGGGGCAAAAGGAGATTCAGGCTTGCTCAACACCTGAAGGCCTTGGGTCAGTTCTCGTGTCTGGCTCCTGCTGCTCTTACCTACCTATGGGGAGGGTGAGGGCAAGCAGTGGAAGGGACGACATGAAAATACAGGTGGTGGCACAGGTCTACTACAGGAGTACAGCCGCACAGTTGTGGGTCCAGCTGTTGTTGGTATCATTAACGCTTCCTTCAGCTCGGTAGCCAACCAATTCAAACCAGATATAACTTAAAATTCACCATAACTTATAATTTTTAGAAACCATACCTTTAAATACAGAATTATTTTTACTCAGTGGTATGTTCCTTGGGTAGTGTTTTGAAATACTTCTATTCATTATTAAAATTACCAAATACAGAAATTTTGAATATTGAATATAGAATGTGGAAAATACAAAAGAACTAAATTAGTAAGTGCATACATCACTCTTATCCAGGCCTACGCACTGTTATGCCTTTCGTATTTCCTTCTAGTCTCCTCCCAGACTTCTTTCAATGTGAGTG